GTTAAAAATCGCGTTAATGTTTGTTTTACGACTTTTTAGTGTAATGGGATAGAGCAGCCGATATAACGACGAGGCTGCGGGCTGGACCACTGAGGAATCGGGGTTTGATTCCTGGCTGGGTCAAGGATTAACTTCTCCATAACGTCTAGACCGGCTCTGGGGCCCACCCAGCCTCCTATCCAATGGGTACCTGGGGCGCTTTCCCCGGGGTTGAAGCGGCGAGAGCGTTAAGCTGATCATTGATCTCGATATAGTGCTCAGGTGAAGAAAGGAGCTATATTTCCATTGCCCAATATGTCTTCCTGGCGTGATGCTTAATTAATTAAAGCCAGGAGTAACTTTAACTTTTACCTTTACCCTGTAAGGTAATACAGAGCGGACGAAAAGTCACATAAATTGTACTGTCGCTTTACTTTCCACTCGAAAAAGTGGCTTGAGACATATATTTACAAATGCATGCGTACGATATACGTGTATATGACATAGTTAAACGCAACGGTAATTGCATGACTTTGAGTCACCTACATGGTGTGTCAGTTGTATTTAACCTATCGATAATATGGCATGCGTGAATTTTCGGTCAACCTGTATAAGAGAACAGCGAATTGAAAAAAGAAAAGTGTTGAAGGACAGTGTCGTGAAGTAGTGTGAGGTGCTGTCTCGACATTTTCCTGGAAGTTAAATCACTCTGTATAAGTGAACAGCGAAATGGAAAAAGTGTTGAACGAAAGTGTTCTGAAGCAGTTTGAAGCGCTGTCTCAACATTTGCCTGGAAGTTAAATCACCCTGTATAAGCGAACAGCGAAATGGAAAAAATGTTGAAGGAAAGTGTTGTGTAGCAGTTTGAAGCGCTGTCTCAACATTTACCTGAAAGTTAAATCACCCTGTATAAGTGAACAGCTAATTGGAAAAAGTGTTGAAGGACAGTGTCTGGACATAGTTTGAGGTGCTGACTCTACATTTGCCTGAAAGTTAAATCACCCTGTATAAGTGAACAGTTAATTGGAAAAAGTGTTGAAGGACAGTGTCTGGACGTAGTTTGAGGTGCTGACTCTGCATTTGCCTATAGGTTAAATCACCCTGTATAGGTGAACCGGAACTAATGTTGAAGAAAGCGGTCGTTTGGGTCTTATCTAGTCATTCTGATACTTCCAGATTAAAGTTTAGAAGTTTTACGGTTAAGTCAGCTTTCTCGGTTTTCCATGTAAATTGCCATTGCAGTTGAATATAATTTCGCGTAAAAATAACTCATGCTATTTTGTTTTCTATTTTTAAAAAATAATCCTCATATGTTTTGCTTTGTCTGAGACATCTTTGATGGTACATGATACTTGAGTAAGTAATCTTACGGACGAAAAGTCCTGTGTTCTCAAAGACATCTCTAGTATGGCAGTTTTCAATGTGTATTCCTGCAGTTTCATAATGATGACGTAACGAGTGACGTCACCATCTCGTGCTGACACTCTCTTGCATTAGACCAGGATTGGGCAAATGGTACAACCGAAAAGGCGATTCCAGGAGAATGGTCGGCGCAATTTTTCTAAAGGGTTTTTTTTCTTATTAATATACGGAAACGTGTAAAGTGCGTAATGGGTGTCATTACTTACAGCATTAATACAGCTGCTGACTCCGTGGTTTTAGTCAGCAAGAGAACAATACCGACTGAGCGACCGCCGCTTGTCGGCGAAGTTAGTGCCAATTTTAGTGGATAGAGGTCACGTGGTCAGCGCAACGAATTCTCACGGCCGTTAATTTCGGTTTTCTAGACCGGAGCCGCTATTTCCTTGAAATAGCTCCTCAGTTATCCTCACTAGGCTGAATGGACCCCGTTCCAGACGAACTACTTCTCAGAAAATCTGATAGAGCCTGAAATCGAACCCGGGACCTCTATATCTGTAGCCAGGAACTCTGACCACTAGACCACAGAGGGTCTAATAATAATAATAATTTAATCCACTTGCTTAATTCGGTTTTATTATTTATTTACGTGCTTATTC